GCTGTTTGTATGAGTAAATTCAGCTGATCTTTGATGGCAGATCGGCGCGTTCTCCTATGAAGCTTGTTAGTAGGTTTCCTGATCATCCTGAAATTGTGACATTGCATGACAACTTCGTGTAAGAATCTATCTCGTTACGTTCAATCACGTTATTTTCTTTATCTTTTTGCTAACTTGAAGCAATGATTGTTGGTTGGTTTCAATTTAGTGTGATTACAAAGTTATTCAATTTTTGCTTAAAAATGTGTGAATGCAGACATGCTGTTGACACGTATAGAGATCACAAGTACTTGGGTACACGAGTTGGAGTGGATGGAACAGTGGGCGAGTGAGTAATTTTTCAAAATTTTGAGATTAAGTTTAATTGAGCATTAACAGAAGAAAATTCAATGTAAGATTTTGATAACTACATTTTGCAAGTGAAGGTACAAATGGATGACATATGAAGAAGTAGCGACTGCACGTGAAGCAGTTGGTTCTGGACTTAGATATCATGGAATGGCACAGGTGAGTCACTTTTCAGAACTAAATTGTCATTTTTCAGGATTCCAATTTTATTAGACTTCATTGAAGATAATATTTGTGCAGTTAACCTTTCCATGAAATTTACTTTATATGAATGGAATATCTAACTCTGTATTTGAACCAGAAATCACACCGGTAAAATATCTAGTTGATTCATTTGACCTTTTGTGGTTATCTAACAGGGAGCCTGTATTGGACTTTATTTTATAAATAGACCAGAATGGGTAGTTGTTGATCATGCTTGTTCAGCATATTCTTACATCTCAGTTCCTTTGTATGACACCCTAGGTAAGTCTTTCATTCATTAAAAATTTCTTTTCTTGTTAATTAGCCCATTCTAATTGGAAGTCATGCCATATTCAGGCCCTGATGCAGTTAAGTTTGTTGTAAATCATGCCAGCATTCAGGCCATCTTTTGTGTCCCACAAACATTGAACACTGTGAGTTTGATTTTTCCTCTAAAGTTGCAATTTTAAATTAGGAAATGGATCCATCATAAAAGTTGTTTAAACTTGTAAAGCAGATACGTTATGTTGTGTTTCTAATTATAATGGTATCCATTCAGGAGAGCTCAGGTGTCTTTCCCACTTGAGCCACTGCCCATAGATGGCCAGCAAACATCTTAGTACATTTGTGATAAACAAGGACTAGTTGTTAGATATTTAGCTGCTTGTATCTACATTTGGGCAATGTGAAACATGCAATTATAGCATGATAATAGAGTTAAGAAATGCTGACAAAAGAGCATGCTTCTAAAGATGGTTGCTAATAGAAAATGTATTCATTTTTTATATTCATTTTTTATAGTGTACTCTCAATGCTATTGTTCATCAAATCTCAATATCTGACTTCTCTCTGCAAATTGCAGCTATTGAGTTTTTTATCTGAGATTCCATGTGTACGCCTTATAGTGGTATGTACTTATGAAATGTCTTGTAAAATTCTTGCTAACCTATAACTGTACTCACAAGCTAATTTTTTTTCCTGGCATTTCTGTTCTGAGGCAGGTGGTGGGAGGAGTGGATGAATACTTGCCCTCACTTCCCTCAACATCTGGAGTGAAACTCATATCCTATCTTAAATTACTTGGACAGGTTTTAAAGCTGTTTCTTTTTATATTTTAATGGCTAGTGAGTGTGAGATTGCTTAAGCACACTATTTTTTCTTCGTGTTCTTTAAAATTTTATGCCCATCTATGGATTTGTTTAGAGGATATTAATGGGTTTTTATTTCCACATATTTGTGTCTCTTCAGCAATGTTATTAGTTCAAGTTGCTGTAGCATGTGTCTTGTTGTATATTTTTGTCAATGTTGATGACATTTTTGGTTATTTCACTAGATTTCTTTCTTTTCCTTGAGGTTTTTGGAATGGGTTAATAATTCATTTACTTACCTGATAACTAGCAACCTTTCTACCTTTAATTAAATTTTCTAATTAATTTGGCAAATCATCAACCCAAAATGAAATGTAGTTTCAAATGTGCCTGCTTTCCGTGGCAATCAATTTCCATATATGATAAATAGATTACATGATGCATCCCTTGCAATGTTTTTCCTTTTAGGGCCACAGCAGCCTGCTGCCTTTCTGCCCTCCAAAGCCTAATGACGTTGCAACCATATGCTACACAAGTGGCACCACTGGAACACCAAAGGTAAGATTCTTTTGTTCTTTGAACCTTAATTGACCTTTTGCTGCTAAAATAATCACTTATGCTTTTGCTGCCTATGTTCCTTTATGATTTGATGCTTAATATGTATTTCTATTTCTTTTTGGCTCTGGAAAGGGAGTTGTATTGACACATGGAAATTTAATTGCAAATGCTGCTGGTTTCAGTGTTTGTGTGAAGTTCTATCCCTCAGACATGTGAGTCCCATATTCAAATAATGAAAAATTCTAAAGCAAATACTGTTGGAGTTTTTGGGAAGATGTTTATCATTGTTTACTGTTGAGACGTTCTACTCATTTTGCAGTTACATATCCTATCTTCCTTTGGCACATATATATGAACGAGCTAACCAAATTGTATTAGCTTACTATGGTGTCGGCATTGGCTTCTACCAGGGGGTATGTGACTCAGTTTTAAATCCTTGTGACATATAACTGTAAGTTACCGTGAAACATTGGACCTGCAATAGAATTCCATTACCGTTTTCGAAAAGCATGACCATTGTTGCTTAATCAAAAAATTGATACTATTTATCATATTTCCTTATCTAGATGGAATAGAGTTGCATTGCTGTTTAATCTAAAACATGATTATGGTAAGATTAATAATGTTCCTACAACAAGTCCTCCTGCCATCAACTGCTTAGCAAATTAAGGATAGCAAATTAAGGAGTGCATATTTTGCTTTGAGGCAAGTTTTGTGAATGTCTAGGTGTCTTTCATTTTCAGGATAACTTGAAATTAATGGATGATTTGGCTGCTCTTAGACCAACCCTATTTCCAAGTGTGCCACGTCTCTACAACCGAATATATGCTGGGTAATATCATGGTTGAGAGCTTCACAAGTTTACATCCCTGCATCTTCTATGTTCATTCAGTAACATTTGATTTGTTATTCTGCCATAGAATCACAAATGCTGTAAAGACTTCTGGTGTTCTGAGGGAGAGGCTATTTAATATTGCTTACAATTCCAAAAAGCAAGCCATTATGAGTGGTATTCATTCTAATCATTAGACCTTCCACTCTTGCTATAGCATGACCTTCCTTATTGTTTGTTCAGATATATCATGTGTCACATGCTAGACATCAATTAGTGTCATTTCAAACTTTCTATAGAAATTCATAAATACATACGTTGGAGACTTTGTTGCTTATTATACTTACAACTGGTTCAGGTCGAAGTGCATCGCCAATGTGGGACAGATTAGTTTTTAACAAAATAAGGGAAAAGCTAGGAGGACGAGTCCGTTTTATGGCATCTGGTGCTTCTCCATTGTCTCCTGATGTCATGGATTTCTTGAGAGTGTAAGTTGATTTTATTACAGAAAGAGAGTGTTTCTATGTCTGTATTTGTGTTTGGTTTCTGTTTGTGAACATGCATTAGCAGTTAAACTGGCATGCAATTCTAACCACAATCTTATAGGTGCTTTGGGTGTCAAGTCTATGAGGGATATGGCATGACTGAGACTTCTTGTGTTATAAGTGTGATGGATGAGGATGATAAGTTATCTGGTCATGTTGGGTCTCCTAATCCTGCCTGTGGTGAGTAGTTTTGTTCTTTATATTATCTTTAACCTGGGCAATGGTAATCTGTAAATTAATTTGAAGAGAATTGCCAAGTGATTGCTGGAGATTCACATTGCTAATTTAATGATGACCCTAATTCAACTGCAATAACCTCTTCCAAATAAACCAAAAAATAAAAATGCAATTAGGGGGTTTCCTTTAAGTGGGGGTGGTGGCATTAAGTTCGCCTCTTCTGTTATCCAACCACCTCCATAGATATAAATCAAAGGTCACTGATTGTTATTTTATTCGAATTTCATTTTTATCCCTACTTTGGCTTGTCCATTTAAATGGTTTTTGTTCTTTGAGATAATTTCTTTTTGAATCTTTCAGAAATAAAACTTGTGGATGTTCCAGAAATGAATTACACCTCTGAGGATCAGCCATATCCTCGTGGTGAAATTTGCGTGAGGGGTCCAATTGTTTTTCAAGGCTATTACAAGGATGAAGTCCAAACGTAATCCACTTTTCATTCCATTTAGATTTTGTTGCTAAAATGCATTCTACAAGCCTTTTCTCTATCTGAGAGCCTTTTCAATTGAACAGGAGAGAAGCACTCGACAGTGATGGTTGGCTGCATACAGGAGACATTGGGTTGTGGTTGCCTGGGGGACGCCTGAAGATTATTGATAGGTTCGATTTGCTATTTTTCTCTTTATATTCTTTAGTTGATTTCATAGTCATATGCATCTCATATCCATCTATTCTGATTTATTGTTTAGATTTTGATCTCTAGTACCCCTATTAGAGATCTTTTAAGTCATTATTAAGATTAATAAGTGATAAGATTTGGAATTTGAAAAACATTTCTTCATCTCTAGTTTTGGTTTTAGTGCAGGTGCAATCTGTTAGGTTGGTAAACTTCAAATTGTTCAAGAATACTCCATTTTGTTGCGCCTTTGGACTTTGTTAAAGAAACATCTGGTTAGATATGTCAGGCATACAGTTCAGGGTTTTGAGAATTAACATCTTACGATAACTGTGTTAAATTTATTGCAGGAAAAAGAACATTTTTAAGTTGGCACAAGGAGAGTACATAGCACCTGAGAAGATTGAGAATGTATATGCCAAATGCAAGTTTGTTTCCCAGTGTTTTATATATGGTAAGGAAATATTTTGTAAATATCTCATTTATACTTAATAGATGATAACTTGCTGACTGTTAATTTGTTTACAGGTGATAGTCTGAACTCCTGTTTAGTAGCTGTAGTAGCAGTGGATCCAGACGTGTTGATAGATTGGGCTACATCAGAGGGTATCCAGGTGCCCATCTTCCTTTTGTCTTTTTGATCATTTGACATCATGAAACTCAAAATTTTAAGAAAAATCAGAAATGTTAAACATGTAGTTGTTTTGCCTTGATATATAGAATTCACTATATCACTTATTTTTATGAGCAAGGATTCCTATATGGTTCTGACAATGTCTGAGTTATACTAAGTTGCTTCACTTCCACTAAACCGGCTTTATTCTCTGAAATTTGAATTATTTAAAAGTGCTAAATCCTTACATAATATTTCACGGTTACGTGTCATGTGGAATGGCAAGATTAAAGGAAGAGAGGGCACCCAAGGCAGTGAGTAGGCATAGGTGGGCTTACATAATATGAACCTAAATCCCATGTAGGGGCCAAATTCTTATGGTGATCTGATTCATTTCAATGCTTTCCTATGAGCGTTTCCCTCTCTATGCTCTGTAGTTGTGATTGGTGGCCAAAAAACAACTTCATGGTTTTGTTAAATGCATCTGTACAGTATGAGAATTTAGCGCAACTTTGCAATGATCCCAGAGCAAGGAATGCTGTTCTAGCTGACATGGATAACATTGGAAGAGAAGTCCAGGTAATATTAGCAATGAGAATGCTTTTAAGTGCTTCCAACTTGCCGTCATGTCCTTCGATTCATTTGGTCCCCTTATGCTGACTACTATTTTGCTGTTTTTGCAGTTGAGAGGCTTTGAATTTGCAAAAGCTGTAACTTTGGTACCAGAACCGTTCACCATGGAGAATGGTCTTCTCACTCCAACGTTCAAGGCAAGCTTCCTTCCTTTTCAAATACAACTTAACAACAATAGGTCATAAGGCATTCTTTCTTTTGACCTTCTGTATTATCCTCCAGATCAAGCGGCCACAAGCCAAGGCATACTTTGCCGAAGCTATAGCCAACATGTATGCTGAAGTTTCGGCATCAGATCCAACCCCGCAAAGAATGTCATGAACCAAACTTTATTTTGGAAACACTGGAAGTGATGAAGTGGAAAATAGCCAAAATAAAAATACTTAACATTTCAAGAAAATAAGGTTATCCTGGTAGCCAATTGTTGTGATGTCCATGTTAAGAGTCCAGAACCTGGATCATTTCAGAAACGAAAACATTCATTGCTTTGTTGTATTTTCATTTTACTTTTCTAATGTACATTATCATTATCTATAATACATGACATTTTAATTTAGATTCAAAGGAACCAAATCTAGTCAATGTTTAAGCCAAAAGATCAGTTTGGTTTAGTTTCCAGATCAAATTAAATTAAGCAGACTCCTTTTGATTGATTCATGATCAGTAAGGATGATAAAAGTGCCAGATCGTCATCCTGCTAATCCTGTATCGGCTAATTTTAGGTACTTCGTAGATTGCAGTTAATCTATTGTGTAGAGGAATGGTATTTTTTGCTTAGTTCTAGAAATTGTATACATATGATGGTTCAGATAAGTAATTCTTCTTCCAGAAATCAATTTTTTATTGATTGGTGTTTTCTTCTTTCTAATTCTTTGAGAATTTGTGCCAAGCCTTTGCTTGATCCTTCTTCACTTGTTTAAGCAATTTCATTCACACTTATAAACATATTAGATATTAATAACATGGTTTATGTTTTATTTTTTTATTTTTTATCTCAGGTTACAAAATGTGAGATAATTTTATTTTATTCTTAACTCACCCTCCCTGATTTGCATGTCGGTTTATAATTTTAATTATCCTTCACTATTCTTCACTTTTTTTTTAGTATTTATTATCAGAGTCTTTTTAATTTATATTTCATAAGCTTTAAAACTAATCCATTCTTGACCAATCTTAAAAACATATCCCTTACATTGAATTAATGCATTTAAAAATATTAATTTTTTTATACTAATTTTAAAATTTACATTTTCTAAATATTAACTCTAAAATTTAAATTTTAGATCTATCTTATAAAATAACACTTATTTACTAATAAATTAAATCAATATCTTGCTTAATTCAGATTTGTTTCCCGAATACAACAGCGAAAGGAATCTTTCAAAAGGTCGTCAGAAAGCAGATCAGTCCAAAGCTTCTAAGACCCGTAAATTAGAAAATCTCTGTTTACATTTCTCAAAAAGAGAAGTCTCTGTTTACATTCCTTGCACATAAAAAACTTATCTAAGATCAGTCCACTCAGCAGGGTTCTGGCAATTATTTTTCACATTGGGAAATGACCATGAACAGCTATGCTCTTCCCTTAAACGTCTTCATAGAGACATTATTCTTGAATTTTTATTTTTAGAAGCAATTGTTTTACCAAGCTTTGTGCACGTAATCTAGTATTTGAGTAATTTTTTAAATAAAAATATTAAAACAAGTAAGAGTATTTAAAGTTTAAAAATGTGATTTATTTATTTTTATTGTGTCAATGGATGCTTATAACAAATGATGGCACAAAATTTTAAAATTTTAATTTATATCAATTTATTAAAGATAATGAATAATATATCACAAGTTATCTCTTATATTTTTAATATTTATTTTTCTTTCAATGATTCTAAGAACATGATTTTTTTACATTAACAATCAACAAATTCTATTATAAAATATCAATAATTAATTATTTACAATATCTAATTATATACGTGAATTTAAAACTAATATAAATTCGTAGTCTTCTATAAGATGTAAATTTCCTTGCATTATCAAGCTATAGTTTTTGAAATGTATACTTTGAAGAACATAATCTCAATACAATAATACATATTGCTTAAAGGACTAATATGTTACCTTCATATTCAAAAATATATTAATGCATAATATATCAAAATATTTTAAATGGTGTAGTTTTACGTCAACAAATGTCTCATTGAATCCAATACCTTATTTAGTATTAAACTCTCTAATATTGGTAAGTTACATTAAACTCTAATTAATTTGGAGTTGGGTTGGATTAGACTCAATTAATAAAAAATTCTTCAAACGTTTATTTTTTTTGTTTATAAAACTTAAATTCAAAATTTTATTTAAAAAAATCAAATTTATTCTATTCAAATCAATAAATTATTGATTAATCTAATATAATAATAAAGTTTATTCTATTTCAATTTCATTTATAGAAGGTTTTGGTGATATATATTCCTTAGAGAATACTATACACGAAAATTCACATAATGGCTAAGTTAATTACATCCAAAAATAAAAATTTTCTAAGTTCAACTTTCAACCTCAATATTTGGTTCTATTAAATTTATATGTTTATATAAAAAAGAAAATCAACATTTTAAATATATAGCTTTTAAACCACGTAAAAGAAACGTGACTTCTAAAGATAATGGAAGTTGTGGTTCGCACCGCCCAACAAAAACGCCTGGAAAAGTTGAAAAAAAATGGTGGAAAATTAAGGAAGCGTGTGGAAAGTTGGAATGATAAAGCGTGTGTAAAAAATAAGAAAGAAAATCTGCGGTAGCGCGTTGAAAATTTGTGAAGATAGAAAGTAAAAATAATCTGTTTAGTGGCTTTGATTTTTTGTTTTAACTTTTATAAAATTTGTAATTTTAAACAAAAAAAAATTATTTAGTTTCATACTTATATTTTTATAATATTTTTAATTATAATTATAAAAAATAAGATTAAAATAGTTTTAATATTATAAAATAGGTTTATATTTTTAAATGACAATTTAACTTGTGTTAAATAAATTGTTAGTTTTTAATTTTTAGATTTAATTTTTAATAATTATAAAATTTATAAAGATCAAAATTAAAAATTAAGAACCACAATCATACCAAATCAGGCCTTAGTTTTCAAACACATTTTCTATGGTAGGAGGAGAGATTTTTCGTGTTAGGTGCAATTGATATTGAAATGGTAATGAAATTTTTGTGAAATGGCCTTAGTTTTCAAACACGTACATTTTCTATGGTAGGAGGAGAGATTTTTCGTGTTAGGTGCAATTGATATTGAAATGGTAAAGAAAATTTTGTGAAATGGCGTGTATAAATACCACATTGCCTCTCTAATGGATTTCCATAGAATTCCTTTCTGATTCAAAATCCAATGGGTCAGCTAATCTATGTTTTCCTTGGCTTTCTTATTCTCACTAGTGTTAGCATTAGCATTTGCAATGGAAACTCTAGCGTAGCCTGCATTGAGAGCGAGAAAGAAGCCCTTTTGAAGTTCAAGCAAGGTATCGTGGATCACACCAACCGAATGGCCACTTGGATTTCTGATGTAGATTGTTGCAGATGGACAGGAATTGTCTGCGATAACATGACTAGCCATGTCATTGAACTCCACCTCAGAAGTCCTACATTTGATTATTATGACGCTGATGAGAAATCAAAGCTGGGTGGCAAGATAAGTCCTTCTTTGCTCCATTTGAAGCATTTGAGTTATTTAGATCTCAGCAACAATGATTTTAAAGGAATCCCTATTCCCAAATTTTTTGGATCCTTCGGAAGTTTAAGATACCTTAATCTCTCCTATGCAAAATTTGGAGGGGAAGTTCCTCACCATCTTGGAAATCTCTCCAATCTAAAATATCTCAACCTTCATGGTGATAAATTTTTTAGGGCTATGTACGTTAAGAATCTCCATTGGCTGTCTAGTCTTTCTTCATTAGAGCACCTTAGTTTGAGTTTTGTCAACCTTAGCAAAGCATCCAATTGGTTTCCTACATTTAGTGCACTTCCTTCCTTGGTGGAATTACACTTGTCACATTGTCAACTTCCACCTCAGCTCCATCTCATTACAAGTGTAAATTTATCATCTCTTTTTGCCCTTTCTCTTTCTGGGAATGGTTTAGGGAACTTGTCAATGATGAATTGGGTTTTTGATCTCAATAACCTGATTTACCTTGATCTATCAAGTAATTTTATTGAAGGTCCAATTCCTTATAGTCTTAGAAATCTAACATTTTTGAAACACCTTGATTTGTCACACAATTGTTTCAATTCTTCAATACCTAATTGGTTGTATAGTTTTAGCCCTCTTGAGTTTCTACATCTTAAGGACAATAATTTTGAAGGTCAAATATCAAGTGCCATAGGAAAGATGAACTTTGCTTTCAACCTTGACTTCTCCTCTAATAGTTTTCAAGGGAAAATCCCAATTAGGTCAATGGGAAATCTATGTAGGTTGAGGTCAATTTGCTTCTCACATGTCAATTTGAGTTTAGAGATATCAAATGTCTTAGAAGTCTTCTCTAGGTGTGTTTCTTACACATTAGAGTCATTGTCCTTGCATAATTGTCAACTCTATGGACACTTAACCAACAAACTTGGAAATTTTAAAAATTTGAGAAAGTTAGATTTGTCTGATAACTCAATCTCAGGTTCAATACCAATATCCATAGGAGAGCTTTCATCCTTAAAAGCTTTATATCTTCTTCAAAACAATTTGAAAGGAAACCTTCCTGAGTCATTTGGTCAACTTGTCAATGTGGAATATGTTGATATTTCCAATAATTTTCTTGAGGGCACTCTTTCTGAAGCACACTTTTTTAACCTCACAAAATTGTCAACTTTATATGCATATGGGAACCCATTGACTTTAGATGTTGATCCTAGTTGGATTCCTCCTTTTCAAAGTCACCACTTATGCTTAGGATATTGGCATTTAGGACCACAATTTCCACATTGGCTTTCTTCTCAAACATACCTAAGATCATTAGATATCTCTAACTCTGGGATCTCAAGTACTATTCCTTGTTGGTTTTCAAATTTCTCTCTTCAATTAGAATATTTAGATCTTTCAGATAATCAAATTCACGGTCAAATTCCAGTTATTCCTAGCTTTGAGGGTCCACTACCTTGGATTTCCTCTTTTCTAACATTGTTAGACCTTTCTAATAATAATCTCTCAGGTTCCCTTTTCAACTTTTTGTGTTCTAGGATGGATGAAACCATGGAAATGGGTTTTCTCAATCTTGAAAATAATTTTTTTTCTGGAGAGTTACCAAATTGTTGGACCAAGTGGCCATACTTAGAGGTCATTGTTTTAGGAGATAATAAATTTATAGGAAAAATTCCAAACTCTATAGGAACTTTACAATCCCTTAGATCATTGCATCTTCGTAAAAATAACTTTTCAAGGGAAATTCCTGTGTCTATAAGGAATTGTACAGCTTTGGAGATCCTTGATTTTGGTGAAAATGAATTGGATGGGAACATTTCATCATGGTTGGGTTACAACCTTCCAAATTTGAAAATCTTGAGCTTGCATTCAAACAAGTTTTCAGGACATATCCCCAAAGAGCTATGTGCACTCAATTTCCTCCAAATCTTAGACCTTGGTCATAATAATCTTTCTGGAAGCTTACCAAGGTGCATTAGTAACTTAAGTGCCATGGTTTATTCTACAAATGACTCATTTGGAAACAACATTAAGTACAAATTTGGATATTTTATTGAGAATGCGTTTCTCGTGATGAAAGGTCAGATTCTTGAATATGACATGACTTTGAATTTGGTAAGAATCTTGGATTTCTCATATAACAGTTTATCAGGAAATATCCCTTGGGAAATAACTAGCCTTCATGGGTTGCAATCACTGAATTTGTCACACAACCTTTTGATTGGAAGGATCCCTTCAAATATTGGTGACATGATTTTTCTAGAATCTCTTGATCTTTCTGCAAACAAATTGCTTGGTTCAATCCCTCAAAGCATGTCAAAATTGTCATTTCTAAATTGCTTGAACCTATCCGACAACCAATTGACTAGGGCAATTCCTTCAAGTACTCAGTTACAAAGCTTTGATGCATCTAGCTATGTTGGAAATCAACTCTGTGGCTTCCCACTAGCAGATAATTGCAGTGAAATTAATCATGTAGTGCCTTCCACTAGAAATAGAAAGGGGAAAGATATGGATGGACTTGAAGTGAGTTGGTTGTTTGTGAGCATGACACTTGGGTTTAGTGTAGGATTTTGGAGTGTATTGAGTTCTCTTGTGATTAGTAGGAGATGGAGGTATGCATACTATCAATATTTAGATGAGATGTGGTGGAAAGTCAATCATTTGTGTGTGTAAATTTTTCGAGTCTTGTGTATTCCTTTTTTCTTTTTTTTTTTCAAGTGTATTATTCTTCATGTCATTGGAATGTATTATAAATAAACCATAGTGTCATTTCCTCTAAACAGTAATGTTTTGATTTTCTGTTCTTTGAAATGAACGGTAAGATAATTAGAAGATAGATACTAAAAAATACAAATTTTTGGTTCATTCTACAAATTTTTTTTTTCTCTTATGTATATCAATCTACAATATTAAGATTGAATCTCACCATAACCACACATTCATTAATGGAACATTAATTCTACAGCACTATCTGATTACTAAATTACTAAATTGAGACATAAGACACTTGAAATGAAAGCTAGAGAAGACTAAAATTTTAACAATAAAATAAGAGCCAACTATCTATACAATTTATTAGTAATCATTTTTTTAAAGTAAAATAAAAAAATTTAGATTAAATCATAAATACACGAAAAGACACAGAAAGATAAATAAAGGAACAAGAGTTTATTATTAATTATGTAATTTAAAATAAAAAAAGAGCAAAACTTGAGATAACATATTACTAAAGGTACATTATTTTTTTAATATATAAAGATTAAAGATTTAGTTCTAAATTTATTAATAAAAATACATATAATTTTATCATTAAATTAAATAATTAACAATTTAAAAATAGATTGATAATTTTAAATTGAGAGCCTTTACTTATGTAAGAATTCTTATTTTACAATTTATAATAATTCAAACTTTAAAACAATTTTTAATAATTTTAATGATTAATCTACGCTTTTAATATGCCTTTCAAACTGAAAAAGGATATTCCCATTTCTTTTTGTAGCCTGCTGTTTGTACACATTCGAATTCAGATGTGTCGTTTCTCAAATTTACAACACTAAAAGTACTCTTCCAAAAAGAACAAAGAATTTGCTAAACGAATTCCGTCCGGCAGGTGGGCGTACATGCAGAAAGCCCAATATAGCAATAGCCGTCTTCAAAAAACTCGAGATTTCCTCAATCGTGTAGGCTTAACCCGCCTGGGTTCCTCTCTCTATGCCTCCACTGTCAAAAACCCTGAATTCTTTGACCCTGAGAATCCTGATGATTTCAATGATGCCCCCTTCATATGGAACTCTACCCTGTCTGATTATGCAAAATGTGGGGATCAAGCAGATGCACCTAAGCTGTTTGATGAGATGCCAGTTACAGATTCCATTTCATGGAATAGTGACATCTGGATTTTGAGGAATGGGGAGCTTGAGGGAGGTTTTGGTTACTTCAAAAGCTGTGAAGCTCAGACCTTTGTAGGTTGGATCAAGAACTCTGACAACAATTTTGTCAGCTTGTGATAGGGAAGAGTTATAGTTTGTCAATGAGATGATAGAAGTGTAGGAAACATGTGTTTTATTATTTTTCATGGGTTTTAAATGGATATGGAAGGGAAACAATTGTAGGAAATTCTTTGAGGACATCATACTATAAATGTGGGAGTTTTGAGTTCAGGGAGGCAGGTTTTTGATGAGATTTTCGAAAGAAACGTTATTACTTGGACTGCTGTAATCTGAGGTCTAGCGCAAAATCAGTGATACGAAGATAGTTTAAACTGTTTGCTAAGAACTAAGATGCGTTTGTGATCAGCGGCTCTGAATGTGTTGACTTATTTTAGCTCAGGAAATTCAAGAAAGGCATCAAATTCATTGCCTTCTGTGGAAATTTGGGATTCAATCTGACTTATGCATTCAGATTGGACTTATGGATATGTATTCAAAATGTGGAAATGTTAAAGATGCATGGAAGATTTTTGATTGATAAGGTTTCCATACAGATTTTTGGAGAAAATTGTCAAGGAAGGAATTCAGATTCATCCAAACATGGTGTCAACTATTCTTGGGGTCTTTGGTGAGGATACTACTTCGGGTTGGGCAAGCAACCTCACCCTTTAATTAACAAAAGGAAGATTTGATTTTAAGCCCTTCGTCAGCAATGGACTTCTCAACGTGTACTCCAACTGTGGAGATTTATAGTAGGCAACCAAATATCATGGAACACCATGATCGAAGCTTTTTCTTGTCATGGGGGATGGCTCTAAAGCTCTAAAATTATATGAAGAGATGGTATTAGAAGGTGGACAGCAGACCAATGTCACATTTCTCTCTTTTCTCCATGCATGTAGCAATGTTGGCCTTTCGTTGAAAAGGGCATGCAGTTGCTGAGATCCATGACTGAAGTTCATGGAATTTATCCCAGGACAGAGCACCATGCTTGTCTGAAATTGGGAAATATTCGGCTGACAATTGCTTTTGGCAGAATCAGAGAGCCCATTGGCTTAATTAGTTTTTTTGGCCAACATACATATTCTCCTTCAAGTAAATGGAAAGACCGAGCAAGGACTATCGAGAGAACGAAGAAAATGGGGGTTGGTGAAAGAAATTGGTGTAAGTTGGATCAAGATTGAAAAGAAAGTTCGTAGCTTTGTTGTTTAAGACAGCACATCTACAAGCTAAGGCAATTTATGTGATTTTTCTGGAACTGTTTCAGCTCATGTTAGATGAAGGGTGTATATGCCGGATGAGAGGTTTATTCTCCATTACGTTGATCAAGAAGAAAATGGATAATCACCGAAGATCTTCTCTAATTCAAATTTGGGTCTCCCAATTACACTTACAAGAATTGTCGACTTTATATAAGATGGCAGATGTTTTATTCACTACCCTTTGGACTTTTTGTCTAGAATTGAATAAACTGGTATATTTTATTCACTGATCTCTCCCATAATGTACGCAAGACACGTAGAACAAATCTCCATGGAAACCTCAACTTCAATGAGAAAAAAAACCAGATGAAATTATGAAAGCACACTTCTAATTAGTGAGGTTATCAGATTAAACCGATGATGTTCATATGGTTTGCTGCTTGTACTTCCGGGGAATCTCTATTCTACCTCAAGTGTTAAATTATGGTATGGTAACCCAGGTATACTCTTGGTTATGCTGTTTTGAAATAATTACGTTGCAACTAAAAAAAATGTCATTATTGTGTAGTATATATTCATTCCATTCATCAATGCTCTTAATTTGATTTTTTGACTTTTTAAGATAAAATTACAGGAAGAGTTTAATGGAAAAGTGAGTATCAATTTATATTGTTAAAAATTAGATAAAAAAATTTCAAAATTACGTTATTTTAATAAAATTTTATTTATATAATTAAAATAT